TTTTTATGTATGAAGTCATGCAGTTTCCCTTACATTTAAAGAGGTGTCCTAGCAGAATATCTAATGGTGTCGTTCATCACAATAACTACAAATATATATGATCAACAAACACTGATAACCAGAAAGTGAATGTCTTGATTTTGAACAATATTTCAAACAATATGCTTAACAAATTTCCTTTTGTGAAATGTTGTTCTTGAAACGTGTTTGTGTCAATAAATGCCATTTGATTTAATATAATGCAAACACATTCACACAATTTTAGGTAAGGCTTATGTGTCCTAATACTTTTCGGCACACACAAGTATAGGTATTCAGTGTGACAGACCAGAAGAAAGTCATGTCCGAGTCAAGTTCAAGTCCTTATGGTCTCAGACTTAAATGAACTGGTCTCGACGACAACGCTGGGTATCAGATATACCTATAGAGAAGTCTAAAGTCACATTCGACAAAGAGCCATCAACTTGAAGGAACAATTACAGAAAAAAAATTCACACAGACCAAATGCTTCATGCCTGCTATCTAGTGTTGATTTGGTCAAATTCCTGTGATTAAACATCTGACCAAAGCTCAGATATTTCAAAAACATTTAGAGATCTAATGGATGTCTGGTCATGTCAGGCTATGGCTGCATTTCTGAAACCTCTACGCAAATTTGCACAGTATAGATAACCATAGATTGCCTACGAAAAAGCATGTGTCCTGCTTTCCTCTGCCTTGGAAGGATAAAGTTATTTCATAGCCTAATGAGTTTTCAGCCCACACAAACAAAGCTCTGCTTCTGTCAGTCACCACAGTCTTTGATTGGAAAGTTGGTTTTGATGACTTTGAGCTGGGAGATAAAAGCAAGACTTGCAATTATTCTGTAACCCCCTCAATGCTTCTTTCTGGGGCTCAGTGTCTATAATCTGCTTGCTGCTTTTCATTAGCTCTCTTTATAAGGGGCTAACTCAATCAGGCCACAACGTGTTCTCTCTCCAGCAGCTGCTAATGTGGCATCCTACAAAGTGTGTGCTCAGTAATTACTTATTGTGTGCCCAAAGTGTTAAAGCTTTATTGGTGTGCTCTGGCTCTGTCTATTGCTGTGGTAAAATTGAAGCATGATAAGTAAGCTGATCACTTACATTATATAGCCTATATATACATACATACATATAGTCTGCTCATAAGTGTATCCCCTTTGCTGAATCTGTTAAATATGTCTCATTAATAACCAGAGTACTGCCTTGAAGAAGCTAAAGTATTTGAGATAACTGATATTAACATATATTCAACAAGACAATGCATGAATGTGGCTGTTGTCACCAAAAACATCAATGACTGTTTGTTGCCTGTTGTGATAGCTGGGCGTTAGTCTCTGGTCTGTAATTTCTTTGATTTCCCAGCATTCTCTGCACACATGTGTTTTTCCCACAATGTCTACAGTATGATGTTGACAGCTTGCACTCAGGACAATAGGGGGACTCATACATAAGATGTCATTAATGCTCAATGAGGATATATTCATTAATTAAATACATTTCTTAACAGGATAATTTTGTAAATTATTATATCAAATAATTTTGTGGGATATTTGAAAGAAAGAAAAAACCTCTTGTGCAGCTTCTTCAGCACAGTAATAAAATGTATATGATCTTATTTTTAAAATGATTTGTTCAATAATAAATATTCTGCACGGGGTATGTAAACTTTTGAGCACAGCTGTAACGGTTCAGCTGATTATTTGTTTTAGCTTGTATTGTATATTTAAAACAGTATACAGTATGATGAACATGGTACATTTGGTACGTTTTTTTGTTTTTGTTTTATAGGTGTCGTCGATACCATCTCTATCCTTGCAATACAGAAAAACAAAGCCCAAACCAGTAGAGAATCCATACAAATATTAAATGTTAGAACTATGCCTGGTACACTGAACATGTCCTCTGGTGTTTTGTGGTATCTACTATAATACAAACTGCTAGTCTGAAGAGTTATTTCCATGGTGAATTATGCAATCATACTTCATTTTATTTTATCTGTTTGCACACACTCAAAAATATACTGGATAGCTTACAGAAAAAGGCTAAGGCAGTATAAGTGTAAAAGTTATCTAATTTGAAAGTATCTACAAGTATTAGAGGAAACTTTACACTAAATAAACACCATTGCAGCTGGGCTCCAGCTGAAGTACAAACAAAGATCATCAGAGGGATCTAGTATCACTCACTGTCTATGTTAAATGCCAAGATTCAAGATAAATTCACATAATCATTACCCCCCCCCCCCCCCCCCCCCCCTCCCCTCTCTCCCTCTTCCTGTCCTTTTCCCCAGGAGAGCTTTACAGATGACTGTAAGTTCAGGGAGCGGTTTCAGGAGAACAGCTACAACACGTACGCCTCAGTGATGCACAGGAACCATCGCACTGGCAGAGAGTGGTTTGTGGCACTTAATAAGAGAGGTAAAGCAAAAATGGGGTCCAGTCCGAGAGTGAAGTCACAACACGTGTCTACACATTTTCTGCCGAGGATGAACCTACATGAAAAGACTGAACAAGGATTCTCAATAACAGACAAAGAGCAGGAAAAACCACCACCTCCACTTCCATCAAAGCCCTCTATACCAAAAGTCGCAGTCAACACTGGAAAGAAGAATCGACCAATAGTCAAGTACTGGCCGAAGTTTCGATTCGGCTAGACCAGTACTGTCTTAAACCTGGACTAATCTTGCAAAAAAGAAAAGCTGGGAAAAAGCTGATTTGCTGAAATAACAAGTTTTCTCTTTGACTTTGACAAGCATTCCAGTCATCATGTACATTACATGGGCTGAATGAGCCAATCACAAGACATTTTCAGGACGTCTGAAGTCTGGTGTGGATTTCATAAAGATATTTGTACTAAAATTGCTTCACAAAAGGATTTGCATAGTCATCCTCAGTGATTTTACAAAATAGCAAAATTTTCTATATTATACCTCACAGTATTTATACAACATATTTATGTGTCTATGTAAGCTTTTTTTTTGCACAAACAGTTATCCAGCTCCTAAGATTATAATGTTTGTGATGGTAATTTGCAAATATATTTTTTAAAAAGGTGAACAACAATGCGCAAAAGAATGAATATTTTGAATGCTTCTGGATTTACATCCATATTTCTATACTTTGAACAACTAGATGTCTGTCCATCAAAACTCTCAGTCTAACTGCTGACTGTCATGGAAATGATATCCTTTAATGACCAGTGCATTCCACAAAAGAGCGATGTCTCACAAGGATAAACATATCTTGAGACTATTCTGTGTTTTATGAGCTCTGCTCATAGGTGTATCAAATGGCAGACAGTCGTGGTATGACCCTTTACAAAATATCCCTATAACTGTCAAGCAGGACACACTGAAATGGTGTGGAACTCATTTTCGGTGATTACATGTGAAAGCAACCATTATTAATTCATTTCTAATAAACATTTCACCATAGTGTCATTAAAAACATCCTGTTTACAATTCTCACATTTATTCTGATCCATTGTTTGTTTCACACAAAAAAATAATTGAAATACTAAAGAACATAAAGGTTTTGTGTACTTTAATCACAACAATCATTATTGCACTTTGTTATTTCTGCATTAGATGCTCCAAAACCCATTATCCTGTTGGGCTGACCGAGGGGTAAAGCCAGGGTTTGGTGGAGGTCAGACATTCCACTGGAAAATGGTTTACAACAGTGTCTCATTAAATAGGTTGAAATACAGGGGTCAAGACATCAAGGAATCCACATCAAATGGTGTCTGCTATGAAGGTTTCTTCATACTACTTGGATATATGCCAAGACTATGAACATTGTCTGGGGATACAATCTTTGCCATTCAAATTCCTTAAGACAATGATGGCAAAATGCACAGAACATTTCAACCACTGAGAATGGTTTGATAAAAGTTTAATGAGCTCTTCTGCCATATTCAAAATAGTTTAGAATGAGACAGCAAACAACACACGCCCCTCACAAAACTGTGGTTTGGCTGAACTGTTCAATTCACTCACTGAATCCAGTAATGTTTAATGCAGTGAAGATCCACAAAACCTAAAACAACACCAATATTCATATAGTCAAAACATAAAAAAAACAAAAAAAGTTTATAAACATTTCTACATTTGAATTACATCTTATACAACCTCTCAAATAAATGTATTTATTGGATCATTAGGCGTTTCAGTTTTAAAAAGCAGCAGATTTTATTGGGGAAAAAAATACCCCCCAAATACTATTAAAGGACAAGAAAAAAAGCTCTTCTCTAGAAAAAAGATAACAGATTACGTAAAGTAACTCTTAAAAAAATGAATAATTTATGTTTGCTGTTAATAATGAATCAGTCACTGTCTCTATAACAATGACTCAAGATGAATTTGCATGAAAAATCTGAATGCTTTCATATCTGAGCGAGCATCTTTTAGAGTAACAAAGTGATGCGGTTTCTCTAAATAACAACAATTATAATAATATGCAAACTATATGATAATGTATTAGATTATGTTTAGCTAAGAAGCTAAGCTACTCCAACTGCAAGAAATCATTACGTTACCTACTTATGTTAGAACAAATGATAGGCCTATTTAAATAATTGTAATTTATATAGATCAGTGTATGAGAGGTTACATCAGCTGATACAACAAGGAAGTAACATAAACATGCATTCACCTGCCACTTGGACTGTTTTCACATAAATAATTTGAATACAGCAGTTTGCATAGTCTACTAATCAACCTCTCTGCTACTCTCATCCTAGCAGAATTTAGTAACGTTAGTTTGTTATTGTTTTGTGCAGCTTGGAGCTCTGAGAAACAGCAAAAGTAGACAAACTTAAACAAACTTACACTGATGATAAGTTGTTGTTGCTTGAAATCGTTTACAGGGATTGTTTGATTGGGCGGAGCTTGTGAATTTTCATTGGTTCATGATTGGTTTAACGTTACTACCGGAAAACACCACAACAGCTACTCTCCCAGTACCACTACAGCTCTAACAGTTGCCATGGGGATATTTCAAGTTAAACAACATGGAGGACGACAACGGCGCCTTTGCTGGTGAAACCGTAGAGAAGTTTCGCACCTACGAGGACTTCTTAGATTCTCAGATAAAACCTTTGGATCTATTTTACCTTCAGGTGACGTATTCATTTCAAATTCACGCTGTTCGGTACCAGGGCGCAAATCAGATGGTTGATCGAAATACAACTAACGTTAATCATTTTTAATTTACCGACTGTTGTAAGTTAAACCGTATGAGCCGTGATGTTGTGAAACTCACAAACACTGTGGGATCGGAAGCATCTAGAAAAAAAACTGCCTTTTGTTCAACTTCTAATTCACCTTTTTAATGAGTCCATATGAATAGTCTGGCAGCGTATCCCAGTCATTTCTCAGTATGGCCTGTGAAATTTTAGCAGTGTAACGATAGATGGCGACATGGTATTTCTGTCCTGCATCATGCCAGGTGTTTTTGTGCAATGGATTACCTTTATGTCGTCTTTCCAAACTTAATTAACTGTATGGTCTTCAAAAATATTGCACTTGATAGTTTTAGCCGATTAATTCATATTTACTCAATTATAATCATCATCATTGTTATATTGTTGTAATTTAAGTCTGATTTAGTCCGTTTAAAAAAAGAGCTCCTCAATATGTAAGTATGCACTGTGGGCTAAACAGTCACTGATCTGGCACTTCATATAATTATTATTATCTGGCTCTTCAATAATTATTATTATTAGAATGAGGACTCTAGGGATAGATTCAGAAACATAATGGCCTGGTTTCACAGACAGGTCTTAGATTAAGACAGGATTAGGCCTTAGTTCAATTTGTCCATTTAAGTAGCCTTCATAAACATGCTTTAGAAAAAATATTACTGGTGTGCATCTACTGCAACAAAACAATGGCACTGACATATTTTAAGATATGTCAAAACAGCTTCAACATGCATTTTAGTCTAGGACTAGGCTTAAGCCTTGTCTGTGAAACTGGGGGAATATGGATTCGTTTCATATGTGTGAAAGCAAACGGGTTGCAGCAATAATCGCCAACAGGAAATGCAACAAAAACAGTCTTTATTAATTAATAAATCCAAATGGAACTGGAGATATAATACAAAACCTCATTAAACACAAATGACACGGAACAATGAACAGACAGGACTTAAAGGGTTTAAATGGCTATGAGCTTTGCCATCACAGGAATAAATTAAAATTTTAAATCTAGAAAATAATTATTTTAATGATATATATATATATATATATCTATATATAATCACTTTTGAAATCTTCTGCTCTCACCCTCCCAATCAACTCCTCCCAATCTCCTTCATGAGAAATGAAAACAAACCAAATATTTTCGCTGAGATTGGACTACGTTTAGGGTGTGCTCAACGAAATTGAAATTCCGTCTTAATGTCGCATAGAGAAACAGTTCTATTTAGAACAGTATCTTCCTGAAGAACCCTTTATATGCTATAATGGTTCTTCCTGTTAATAGTTTAGGGTTCTTTATTCCCGCCTTTATGTTTTTCAAATCTGTAACTGACAAAGCCACCTCATACTGATTTTCTGGATTTAAGCTATACAACTACACTGTCAAGATACTCTCAACAGGTAAATTATTTCTTTCTTAAAATGTCTATAAATTATAACTTGTAACTGGTTTCCTACCAATCATGCCTCTTTCTCTTTTTAGTTTAACAGAACATGCAATTGAGCAGCTCTGTTCAGTTAAGGATACATTCATCTTCCCCAGTGTCATTTTTTGCTACAATTTGCCATGCAAATAAAAAATAAAAGTACCTATTTGACACCACATGCTGTTTTTTGTTTGTTTGTTGATGTAAAACCCAAATAGAGGCAACAAGATAGGCTACATGACAGGCAGATAAAGAGTGAAGGGAAAAAAAGACTTAAAAAACAATATTAATAAATAATATATAATATTAATTATATAAATATACTAATATTCATGAAAATAAACTATTATTTAAAAGGTTATTTATAACACCATTAAGGCCCTATAACACTTTAAAAGCATGTTCTTTTTACTAGTAATTTTTATTGTAATTTCACACAATTACTGTTACTTTATTTTTTATTAAATAAATGCAAAGTAAACCTCAAACTTTTAAATGACAGTGTATAAAATGTTATATGATTAAGTATAATATGTTTCTATTATCTATCTTTGGTCTTTGTTTTAAATTGTAATTTAGACTCAGATTCTTTGTTTTTTTTCTTAAAATTTCATGTTACAAAAAAATCTGTCTTTTTTTGCAGTATTAAGCAAACCCATGGTGTCCGTTTCAACCTTACAGGGAAAAATCATTTTTACCTATTTTTACTTTATATTATTATTTTTAGAGTATTGTATAAATGCAGTCATTTTAGCGGCGAGTTTAACCCTTCACAAATAGATTTTGCTAGCTTTCCAGGTTTTTCCTAGACTGCAGCTCTCTACAATCTCAATGCCCTATTACCACATGAAAGCAGCTCCTCCTTTTGAGGGCATAAGGAATTTAACTAAATCATATTTAAATTATACTGTCCACTTTAATAGGCTACAGTGGCATGTGGCAAAAACCCTTGATCCTGGCAGCTATGAAACTGTCAGCACAGCTCATGTAACTTTGTCATATAAATATAATGTATATTAAAATTAGATTGATATAAATAGCACTTGAGCACAAATGTGTCATAAATACACTGGCATCAGCAGATTGGTGAATTGCATGATTTTTTTTTCTCTCATATTAATCAGTCAGCTTCATCCATCCCCAGCTCAGCAGATCTGTGTTTTTGCTCCTCTATAGGATCAGGAACGGGCCCGCCAGCTGGTGGAGCTAGGCCACAAGGGTAGCAGTTTGGAAAGGGAGGAATTTGAGACAAGGAAAGCAGCTGCCGAGGCCTCCAGGCTTGCTTCAGGGAGCCAACAGAAGTAAGGTTTTTGTGTAGTGACCATGAAAAGGGGACAGATTTCACACCAGTATGTGACCTTGATGAAAATATATTTTCCAGTAAATGTATTGGGCTTCATTCATGAAACACAAGCAGAATGAATTTCTGCGTAAATCATTTGTTAAACCATTCTGACGTAAATTGTCACATTCAATTTAATGTTGCATTCTACGTACGAATGGCTTTACGAACGATTCATTCTGCTCAAGTTTCATGAATGAGGCCCATTGACTTTGGAGAATTAATTAATTAATGACGCACATTCATTGTAAATATCAAAGACATCAAATGACAGAAAGATGGTAACAAATAATCTTAGATTATAGGATCTAAAAGTCCAAGGACACAACAGCCTCTTTAGAGCAATTTTGGCTAAAAGCACTATGGACTGACGAGAATGCTCTTTATAGATGCACCTGACGGCTCATGTGTTTCTTAAACTCAGATCTTTCATCCCTTCAAGAGAGTCAAAAGTTGTGTTTATGTATGTTTGTGGGAGTTTTTGGGATGCTGTAAACTCAGACTCTGACTTGGACAAGGATTACATAGTTGGTGTGGTGTGGTGGTGAGGCTTGAGGAAACATTTTTGGAGAACTATATTTGTGTTTTCTCTGGCTGCTTGTGGCAGACGTGTCTTTGTGGCATTCAATGCTTGTCAAAATGCTCAGAAATTCTGCGTCTCAGTTCAAGTAAAATTATATGTCAAAAGAAAGAAACGTCTATTTCAGATGAAATTGCAGTCAAATAAGAAAATATTTGATACAGCCTTTTGCAATGTAAAGCACTATCGGAGGCTATTTTGTTTACGTGAAGCCAATAAACTTTCTCAGCAAGAAGCTCATATAGCCAGTGAATGTCTGGATTGCAGGCCTCAAAGATTTAAAAGATTAATTGACTCAGTAGTTCTCTCAACATAACATAACCGCAATACTAAATACATGAAAACTGTCAAATAGTGTATATAAGTGTCATTGCTCTGGTGCAGTTAACTGTGGCTCTTGGTTAGCAAGTTGATGCTAGTAAAGAGTAATGTTAATGTGGTTGACATTAACATTTCTCACTGCCTATGTCATCCACACGAGGGCCCCATCACTTCAGTTCCTAGGTTAAGCTTACCATAGCTATGCCTATCAAGTCCAGCTCTCTTAGGTTTAGTTGTATGCTGCAAAGTTACTTTACTTGAATTCTGAATAGTCTCCTGTCATTTAGATATGGTTAGAATTGAGGTTGTATTAGTGACTGGGATCACAATGCACATGACCCATTACTCTGATTGGGAAGATTCTCTTCCACTGTGTTGTTAGTGTACAGACAATAGTCTTTTAAGGAAATAATTGAACTGTTTTGATCACATGATCCTGGATAGAAGTTAGCTATTACGCCATGATCAGGTGTTTTGCCTCAAGGTTAGGCATCATGAAAAGATACATGACTATATAATGGCTGAAATGAGTGTTGACAGATTATTATTATTAACATTTAGCCTAGTTGTCGTTGCATTTAGTTTTTGGTACCCATATGTTGATATATATATATATATAGCCTATATATATATTTGCACTAAAAGTGAGAAAAAATCCATCCAGTCCAAAGTTTGGGGATGATACAATTTTTTTATGTTTATGTTGAAAGAAAAAAGCTTTGTGCTCACTCAGTCAAAACAGTAATATTATTAAGATTTAAAATAACTTTTTTCCATTTTAATATATTTTCAAATGTAATTTATTCCTGTGATTGTACAGCTGAATTTTCATGGTCCTTTAGAAATCATTCTAATATGCTGATTTTGTACTCAAGAAGAATTGTATACATTTTTGCTGGTTAATGCTTTTGTATAAAAAAAAATAGGATTCTCTAGTGAATAGAAAGTTCAAAAGAACAGCATTTATTTGAAATAGAAATATTTTGTAACATGCACCTTTGATCAATTTAATGCATCCTTGCTAAATAAAACAATCAGTTTATTTTTAACGGTAATGTAACATACATAAGTAAATGATAAGTGATAATTTTTTTATTATTATTAAAAATGTATTGTGGTTACCTGTAACTAAAAAAAAAAAACCTTTATTCTTTTGTGACTCCTTCTCAATTGCAACCTTCCAGTGTGCGTTTTCTCTCTCTCTTCCTTCCACTCTTTCTAACTGCCTTTTCAGGCCTCTTTTTGCTCTTGGAGACCTTTAGTGCCTGCAGGTGTATAAATAGAGATGTTTTCAATTAAGACGTGCTTTTTGCCTGTAGCGTGCATCTGATCAATGAATGCCCCTGCACCTGTGGTAATAAAATACCAAAGGACGAGGGAGACTGTGCTATGAATGCTAATCAGATGTTGCCCTTTTGTTGCCCTGTTATAGGCTAGTACATAACATGCTTCATTTGACAGATAGGCATTGTGGTATCCTGCCAACAAATCACAATTGAACAAACGAAGGGATTTCGCCCTCAGAAACTCAATACTTGACGCAATGGGAAAAGCTTGAATGGAAGAGATGGTTGACTGAAAGATGGCTATTGTGGTGAAAAGGTTCCACAATAGCTTATGACTGCATTGAAATAATGGACAACAGTAAACGCAAGTCTCTTTATGTGATTAAAAGTAGACAAGGGGTTGACTGAATGCCTGACTCCTTCATCACCGTCTCTCATGCTCTTTCTTTCTCTCTGCATCTGTGACTTCTTCAAGATGAATGTGAAATAAGCAGATGAGTGAAAGCATTACTTTTTTCCACTAATAAATCAGGTCCATACAGAGGGAATGGGAGCGATTGTGAGTTTGGCTCGGATCTGAGCAAATGGATCATGCAAAAAAAAGACACCATAGTCGCATAATCCATTTCTCCTGTACTGGCGTTTAGCGCAGAGACCATGTTGAAAACCAGCTCATGCCCTCTCAGCAAGTTTACAATTCACAGTGTCCTCATAAATGCTGCACCACTAGGTCTGGATCAAAAGCGTAAGGTCACGCAGGTTCCGAGCATTCTGGTGCGAGTTTCAGAGGCGAGGGAGCATGGTGGTTTTACGCAGGCCTGATATGAGGCCCTGGCAGGAGCCCTGAAACCTGCAGTCTGGCCCGGACCCAGCAGTAAATGTCAGCAGATGTCCTGACCTCGCGTGCTCATGACAGGCTATGGAGACTCGAGCTCGAACCCTCCCCCCAAACCCCCAGCACAACCACAGCCATGCTCTTTGTCCATTGTTTGGCTTCTTCGAAAAAATGTCACTCTACACAAATTCACCCCTTTCGAAATTGATGGTTGGAGCCATCGCTTACTAGCCAAGTAAAACCCTGCTGCGAACACAGACTGTACATATGCACTGCAGTGTTAATCCCTCACACACATAGGCTGAAATAAGACCTTCAGCCCTGTTTTTCAGGGCACAGCCAGGAGGATAGCTTGGCCTGTGCTGGTTGTCCCACAACGACCCAGCATATGAGGTGCTAAATGAAGCTGATTGGAAAGTTCTTCCATACGCGAGTCGTGCCAATCAGACACGACAGAATACATACTTATATATAAAACTATAAGACTATATAACAATACCTACGATTTATAAATTGAGATTTGCATCAGTCAGCATAAGCATAGTGTAACATTCACTTTAAAGGAGATGGTTTGCATAGGACTAGGTCATTTATGTTGGGATGTCAACACCACTTTTTCCCATGGTACTAACGTTTTGTAATTGTATTTTTTTTTCTGTTGGAAAGAGAAGAATAGCTTGCGGCAGTGAGATCTAATACAGAAGAATTGTAAAGCAGATCTCTTTTCTATTCTCTGCTCTCTATTCAAGTGCTTCAATTGATTGATTGTATCCACAAACCACTAGCCTATATGTAAAGAGAATTTATGCTTTAATTTAAAAAGTAGAAACATATCATACGCTTTCCAAGGGTCGAGCATTCCTCGTCATTTACTAATACTCACATTATCACCTTTTGTGTTCTGTAGAAGATAGAAATGCACACAGGTCTGCAACAACATGAGGGAGAGTATTATGACAGAGATTTCATTTTTGGGAGGATACTAATAAGGTTGTTTGCAACTATTTCTTTTCTGCATCTACACAGGGTTCAACACTGCATTTATTTCTACTTTGTTTCCAGCAGCCTTCCTTCAGCAGTGACTTAAAACAGATGTTTATTAGGGTCTGTCTTCTCCTGGAGGACTAACCCTTTCCTAAGGTCTTTGTGGCAGTAAATGAGACTTAACAACACACCTGATGTGCACTAACAGATGAGGCTATTCTTAGGAGGTAGTTGCAGTCCCCACTGTTCCTTTATAGAAATACTTCTCAGACCACAGAAAACCTAAAAGTGATGAGCCAGCAATTTCATTTACGAAATGTTCGCTGAGAGTGAATTTGACCTGTCTGTGTTGCAGCAATCTGTCATAGCTGATCATTCATCTACCTGAGAGTCCAGAAGAGCAACAAATAGGCCTAACTGTTAAAGGGATAGTTCACCCAAAAAGCTGTTGACGGTAGCCATTGACTTCCATGGTAGGAAAAAAATCCCATGGAAGTCATTGGCTACCGTCAACTATCTGGCTACCAGCATTCTTTAAAATATCTTTGTTTGTGTTCAGCAGAAGAAAGAAACTCATACAGGCTTGGTACAACTTGAGGGTGAGTAAGTGAACTATCTTTTTGTCTCTGCCTTACATGAATACATTGTATCTGTTAGCTAACTGCGTGATTTGTTTATACATTTCTGAAATGCATTACTTAGACACAGTCACCTCTGATAAAAGATCACACAAAATTTTTATGTAGACATGCATTTTCTGTAAAGCTGCTTCAAAATGATATGTATTGTGAAAAGCGCTATTCACCTTATTTTTTACGCAAGAGCGGGCGCCGCCATTTTTGAAATATAATGTGTTAGATTTCCGGTAAGCCACTTTCGCTAATCGTAGTTGTATTGCTAGCTACTTTTTAATATGGACTACACTACAGACAGACTGGCAGTTAGGGTGTGCC